AATAAGTCGTGGTATAATATTCCTAACTTCAAGGCTAATCATACATTTTTCATAACAATAGGTCGTAGAGTTTCTACATATATGCATACATAACTTCACGCCTGTCTCACATGGGTGTAGGCAGAGATTATGAAACGCCAATTAGGTACTACGATTCCTACGACTATGCACGAACACGATTAGCCTTGTGGTAGTTTCTATATCCATTTATGTATTTACCTAATAATATAAAGATGTTATTAGTAAATTCCCCTGTTTGATAGATACCAAAATATTCCTATTTTCTATTGTTGGAAAAGTCTATTGTTTCTTTCTCCGGTAACTGGTAAGCCTTTATATTTAGAGAAGTCAAGGCTAAGAGAAACTATTTTTACATACTATTTTCTATACGAATACGATCCTGGTACGAAAATTCCGAGACTAAGTACCCTCTTAGAGAGTATTAAGCTATTTTATTAAGTTCAACCAATTAAAATGTAGTATTTTGTTCATTTGAACACAGCACGAAGTCTTTTAATAGCATAAGAGGTTCTGAGAAGTAAACAGTATGTATATTTTAATAACAGATTTTAAAAAAATACAAAGGAGGTTCTCTTCTGTTCTTTGTAAATATGTATGTATGTGCACGATGTATGAATGTATCTCACGATTGGCTGAACCGAGTTTGATGCAGTTTTCAAAAAAGTGTTTGTACACTTAGGATAAGGTTTTCGTATAGTAATTAACCGACTTCAAATGAAAGGGGTTGAAGTCAGCTTTTTAAACGTAGTTGATTAACACATTTGATGCCGTGTCAGGTAATGGCGACCGACGCTAGCGTAGGATTAGCCTATAACAGATTTCGTCGGCAGTTAAGGCTTAAAAGAATTGTCTTTATCCTTTCACTTTTTATCACTTGAATTACAAGTCTCATGTGCTTTATTATGTATCACTAGCTTTTGCCCGCGGCTTCGTTCGCGTCACAAAAGGATAAAAAGTAGCCTATGTGACATATACCAACACACACAGCGCCATTTATACCAATTAATTTCGTTTTCCCTCGAGAATATCAAAATTTTCCGGGATAAAAAGTACCCTATTATTTAATCCAGACTTCTAACTTCACGTCTGCAAAAATTCAAAGCAATCGGTTTAGTAGTTACGGCGTGAAAGTGGAACAAACAAAAAAACAAACAAACTCACTTTCCGATTTATAATATTATTATTATTAGTAAGGATTGTGATGGTGAATAAACACTGCCTCTCGCCTAACCCAAACCTCAAAAAAAAACAAGGTGCTGGAAATTTTCAAAAATCCCCGGTGGCACTTTTTTCCTAACCAGAAATCAAGCACCACTCCAACTAGCCGCTCAACCAAAGAGTCACATCGTTTGTTTTCAAGGAATTTAATCATTTCGTAACATTCTGTTTCAGACTCTGATTTCAAAGGCTTTGTTTAAATGAAACTGATTTTGATATAACTACATAATTCGTATTGAGTGATGGTTTTACGTCTACAATATACCGGGTGTCGGTTTACTAAATAGATTTGTTAGCTATTATATTTTGTCGGGTTTTGGGTAATATCTCTATTTACTGTATTTTCACTTGTCAGACTAAAGCAGTTGCTAGGTATGTGGTATTTTTTATGGGACAAGCCGATAAACGAGCTGACAGATCACCAATGATGGTAAGCAATCGGCGTGTTATCTACCGGCCTTTTCGGAATTGGGAATTTAAGGATTATGGGGGATTCGCGGAATGGGGAGACGGGAGGAGCGGGTAATTGGGCCTCCGGTAATCTCACTCATACGACAAAGCACATAGTAGCAAGCATGGCTCTCCTACACTTATAAATATATAACTTTAGTGTATGCTTGAGGATATTAGGTTTATTTGAAGTTTTTTTTTTTTATTTGATGGGGTGACGTTTGACCTCTTTCTCGCCTGGTGGTAAGCGATTATGCGGTCTACGATGGAGCACGTCGTTCCATAAGCAACCTATTCTCTCGAGCCTTGAAAACTCCTAGGTTATTATACCCTTCAGGAAATACAGACAATATACTAAATGATTATAAAAACGTAAGCTGATTTTACTCAGATACTGATTCTAATATTTGAAAAGAATTTTTTAACTAGAAAGCTTCTTGGTTCAAGGTCAAATACAGAACTAAAGTGCATTTTGTTTCAGTTCCTTTTTAAAAAATTCTCAGTAGTGGCACGGAGTCTGGAATTGTGCCCGGTATATGGCAATAGGCTCACCCCCTATTACATGAGACTCATAACATAAATAGCGAAAAGTGGGTGTTACATTGCACAGTGGCATTAAGTACCGTAATGTGCACCTCTGCCTATCTCTTCGGGGATAAAAGGCGTGATGTTATGTTATATGTTATAATAAAAATAAAAATATACTCTAAAAAGGAGATCTTTGATCAGCAATGGATGTATTTCGTTGGACAATGACAATGATTGATTTTATAATGAGACCGTCTTTCAATACGTCGCAAAAGTAAATCGAATTAGTTATTTGCAATACGATCGATAGGTTCAGACCAGAATGACATTTTAATTTTACTAAAAGAACTTTTACGCGTGGCGTTCGAAGATAAGCACTGGTTTTTTCTTTGAAAGTTTCGTACCCATTTAGTGAAAGGAAAAATGCTCGTTCGACGGAATTAGGAGAATTAAAGAGAATCCGGGCATTCACATTTTATCGGATAAGGGAAACCTAATTTGGGACATTTGGCAATGGTTGAATTTCACGCAACCGGTCGAGTACTTTTGTACCAATTAGAATCAGATTTTTAATTGGATTAGGTACATACAGAAAACAATGGTAAAATAAAGCATAATGACCTATGGAGTTTCTTGCTCATTCTTCCATAGGAAACCTTGGAATGAGCAAATAGCTTTACTTTTAATTTTTTTGTTCACGTTCAAAAGTGCCATTCTGGCCTAATTGAAATAAATGATTTTAACTTTGACTTTGACTTTGATATTTTTTTAAAGTCTTAACTGTCTCATTGATCAAGGTATTTCAGGTTCAATTCATGCGTCGGGCAAGGCTTTAATGTTTTTTTTAGGAAACTTATTCCAACTTTGTTACATGGAATTTCTATTTATTGTACCTCTATCTACACCTCGAGGATTAACAGAATAAGAACTTATTACCAATAACAAAAACAAACCATTTTGAAAGATTTATCGAACGTCACTTATTCAAAATATTGTCACCTTTACCTGTGAAAAATTTATAAATCATTTATAAAGTTTGACAAACTAGTAGGCATCAACTCTTCTATGGAAAACTGAAGGTATTTTTTCCTACACAATAGAGCTTACATAATATTGTTATACGTGACTTTTCGTGAAGGATGCATCAATAAAGGCCAAGGGATGAATAAATTGAGTCTGCTATAGTATCTATAATAATAAGGAAAACCGTGTTGACCTCATATAGATAACAAACCCAAAAATTGGGCTGAAAGGAAAGGAAAATAGGACAAAAATGGAGAAAAACATATCATGAGATACATGAAATACAGTCATGAGAATTTGCATTTTGTTCGTTATTGTAGTAGTTATACTCGAGCGTACGGTGCGTCGCATTCCACGCGCGCCTCAAAAGAGCCATCAAACCACCAAAGATGGGGCCCAATAGGGCTGATACCGATGCGGAGCCGTGGAGGACTTAACGGGTTGCTGGGGCTCCGGCTCGAAGGTCAGGAGTAGAAACAGGGTGGTTTTTAGTCAGTAAGAGTCTGACACTCCCTCCCGCCTCACCCAGGCGGGAGCAGTCATTCGATGATTTTTTCCCCCTTAAAAAATGAAAATAAATTGTAGTAGTTATCGGCCACTGAACGCCAATTCCTACGATTTTTAAATACCTCGTTCGCTTCTTCAAGAGTCATTAGCTCTTTCACGCATGCTCATCCGTTCAGGGTACTTTTAATTTGGCCCTTCTTTAATACATCGCCTATCTAATTGATATATGTCCGTATTGTCCGTATATGACGCTCTCTACCGACAGTCCCATTCATATCCATTCTGTATACTTCTTTCGTAAATCTCCTTTCATCCATTTTCGTACATGTCCAAACTGTCGTAACCTAAAAAGTCTTAAATATAATTGTGACTATACATATACTTCTCTATTCTAACTTGTGTTAAATTTAAATGAATAACAATAGTAACCCAATAGGAATGATGACAGGGTATGAAAATTAAATATCTAATTAGTACGTAAGATAATGAAAATATATTAGACACTTAATTTTTTATTTTGTCGTATAAGAAAACTATACTTATATAAAACGAATCAAATTTCAGGAGTGGGAGGTAGCTACGTCATTTTAGAGTATAAATCGTACTCAAATGTGACGTCATGCAATATTTCAAATCAATATATCTTCGAAACTATTCGTTTCCGTAAGAAATTAAAAAATACGTGTCTAATATCTTTAAATAATCTACCACACGGATATTTAAACAAAAATTAGTCATCTACCCAATTAAACGTGTATTATATGCATGTGGCAGGTATAGTCTAGATAAAATACTCAAAGGCTTAATAATGTAAACCTAAACATTTTAACAGTGTTTACAATTTTGGTGTACACGTGGGCGCTTTGTAGACAAAATAAGCCGTTGGTAATACTTATAATGCGTGAATAAATGTTAATGGGACCAGGAAATATGGTGGAGACGTCTTTCAAATGATATTTTGGAAATGGGTTTCGCTTTGTACCTGACGTTGACGGCTTAAGGACGCGGTATAACCAATTGTGTTTGTCAGTTTTTGGAAATTTTTAGCCAGTTAGTTTTACATTATTCTTGAGAATATTTCGTGTTATGTGATTGTAGGATTTTATCTAATAAATAAATTAATGTTTTTTTAGAATTAAAAGCGTCAAGGTCGTGTTTATGTGTGTTAAAACACATTCACTACATAGTACAAATATCCGATTGTATTCTATCAAAGAAAAAAATATCTCAAATGTATTTTTCTTTGTCCACAGATCCGTCTAACATGCGTTCGTCGTCACAAGGTGCGGTTCGAAGAGCTTTCAATAGTCAGACCAAGTGTGAACTCAGATCCTATACCTCATTGGTCAGAACATTCTGCGGTTGACGAGCGAACAATGAAGGCATCCCGAAGCTGCGAAATCTTTGTCCTTCACAGTCCGAAGAGGAACTTCAGATAGCGATCAAACACGCCTGGTTATACCCAGGAAAGTAAATTTTGAACTGACAAAAACTAAAATTAAAACCTATGTGATGTCTATTTTTGAATTGTGCTCAGTGGTAAATTAAAAAAACGGTTGTGATAAAAAAATATATAACTATTTTTAAACGAATGAATATTGTGACTAAGACAATGAGGTTGGAAACTGATTAGTTTTAAAATTTTTAATTAAGAATGTGAATTGTAAATAGGAGATTTCGGTTTTTGCTGGTCTGATGGCACTAGGTGTTCAATCAAGTATTATTGTTGAGAGGCGATTTTTCAATCATCAGGTAATTATTAACTGTAGAATAAAATTTAAAGTTTTTAGTATGGAAGTATTGTCAAATGTTCATAGTTATTTCCCAGTTAAAATTTACGTGGCGTTGGAAAAATCGGCCCTTATTCAAATTTTAACTGACCAAAATATTTTCACATTCGTAATTATATATTCTTTATGTATGTTAGCGTATGTTAAAATAATGTGAACATTTCGGATGCAAAAACACTGATAGGTAAACATTAGTTAAGCCATATTTCTTTATTTTATGTATAAAGTTTCTATTGATATCTAAGTCAGTCACTTCCATTAATTTAGATTAGTAGACCAAATGTAAAGATGTGTGCCAAACTGTACTGTTTACGATGCCAAAGTAGCTATTTCCTTAATCACCCTAATATTATAGATATGAAAGTTTCTTTGATTGGATCTTTATCAGTTAATCACGCTGAAACTACTGAACGGATTGTAATAAAATTTGGTATACAGGCATGCTCCCACGGCATAAAACTGGAAAACGCGGGAAAGACGCATGTAAAATCTAGTAATAATGATATTGAATTGTTTTGATCCTTTCGACATTTTAACGACAACCTCCTTTTGAAACGTAAGTAAAGAATACTATCATTAACAATTACCATTTCAAAATCTTCAATACATTCTGATCTAATACTTCAAAATCTTGGAACTAAACCATACGTTTTGCTCTTCTAGATGATCCCACTTAAACCAATCCAATAAGGGTCGACTTTGTTTTCTGCAAACGTCTCCATTTGTGTTATCTTTTCACCAGAATCTTAGTTAATGCTGATCCTATAACATTGACCCAGTTTTCGTGACTGAAATGCATTGATGACACAGCTGTCCCAGTTTATTGGCATCGACGTATATTTGTGTATTTTTGTTGGCTATTTTTTGGGCGCCATTGTGAATGATAAGTAACTGTGGATGTACTTAGATGGGTGTAATTTATTTTATGTCAAATACTAACAGATAAAAAATTTTTATATCAGTGTTGGGTATTTACTGCGCCGAGCTCATACCGAGTTAGCAAGCACTTTTGTCATAGGAATGTTGCCACCTTAATGCTCTTTTTACAATTTTTTTATATTTTTTTTATCCTTTTTGCTTTTATTATTTTTTACTGTTCATTTCTAATGTTATTTTATGTTTTTTTTTTTTGTTTTTAATGTGGTGTTCATTGTTATTTTACAACTACGTAAATGGTGTATTATGCCTAATGATAAGTAAATTAATTTCCTTTCTTTCTTTCTTATAGTGATTTCTTGTAGTCTTTTATTCGAGTGTGACTTTGTGATGTATCAACTTAATAGATTGCAGTGATTTCTTGGTCGTAAACATTTGAATTATGTTAATTACTATAAATTTTTTATAAAAAAAAAACTATTTTCTTTCGACCAAACTTTGACATCGTTTCTATGAAAATAGTTCACGTGAGGATACTCGACCAGTTTCGAGTTACACAGGGGCTCTTAATAGTTATCTCTTTACTACGTGAAGCGGTCGAAAGAATCCTCCAAAATGTAATTTTTAATTTTTTAAGAGGTTCTAGAAAATATTAAACTCCCGTATTTAGGTACAAGTGATGACGTCATATGTTGTTGTGAGTTTTTATTCGTTCTCCCTACTACTCGTTATTGATCTCTCCAACATTGGAAATATGTCGAACACTTACTTCTTTTCTTTCTTTTCTATGAAATAGGTAATACAGATAAATCATTTTATGGAAAATATATTTTGTAATTGGTAATATGTATTTGTAAATATTACTTCTAAGAAATATGGGTGTCACCACTATATATTACATAGAAGATATGAAAATTAGGTCTCTGTGTGTCAAGCCGGGAATATATTTTTTTATCATTTTCTCTCCTAATATGATGTATATTCCCTTCTGTATTCTACTGCTGGCACCCATGTCTTGTAAATAAGTTAATATAAATAATTTAAAAAAAATCTCTGTACCAATTTGTAACGTTTTTTTTTTTAATTATAAGTTTACATAAGATTTAATGTAGCAAAGAGTTCTAACGAAAATTGTATAATTATTTGAAGAAATAAAATTCTTATTACTAATGGCCTCATTTTTATTTCTAGGAGATGTAACTACAGTATACATTTTATAATATATGTTTTGAATTACTTACGTATGTATATGTGCTTATTTCTTTATTTTATATTTCATGGCCATGACTGCCTCGTTGGCCGAGTGGTTGCAAGTGCGACTGTCGGGCAAGAGGTCTCGGGTTCGATTCCGGGTCGGGCAAAGTAATACAGGGTTTTAAAAAAAATCTCAGTAGTAGCACGGAGTCTGAAATTGTGCCCGGTATATGGCAATAGGCTCACTATTACATGGGACTCATAACATAAATAGTGAAAAGTGGGTGTTACATTGTACAGTGGCATAATGTGCACCTCTGCCTACCCCTTCGCGGATAAAAGGCGTGAAAATATATGTATATGTTAATGTATATTTCATGGGTCGACGTTTGACCACTATATCGCCTGGTGGTAAGCGATGATGCGGTCTACGATTTAGCACGTCATCCCATAAGCAACCTATTCAGTCGGGCCTTGAAGACACCCAGGTTATACCCTTCAGGAAATATTGACTCTGGCAAAGTATTCCACTCCTTAGCAGTACGCACAAGGAACCTTGATGCGAAGCGCTTCGTGATTGTGGGAGGGACATCAACCAACAAGAATCGGTAACGCTTCGTCGATTGTCTTGGATGGAAAGGACAAGGGGTAATCAAATTGTGCAATTCACAGCACACTCACTGATAGAATAGATAGATAGCGGGATAGAAGTCTGAGTTTGGTAACTTTAACTAAATAACAATGGCAACGGTATCTAGATTATCAACCGACTTCAAAAAAAAAGAAGGAGGTTCTCAATTCGATTATATTGTTTTTAATTGTTGAAAGTGTTACTTTTTCCTCAGACTACCCTATTAGTCCAGACCTCAGATTCTATTCCTAGGTAATGAATTATTATTAGGATTGATTTTCGAAAATTTTCCCGTGTCGTGGGTGCGTTTACAAACTTAACTACAAGTTCACATACACATGACACCCAGACCCGGAACAACAATCTGTGAATCACATAAATAGTTGTTCCGTGCGGGAATTTAACCCGCGACACGTTTCGCGGTAGCCAGTTGCCCGGCCACCGCACCAACTATGCAGTCTATTGCCCAGATTAAAAAAATATGCCCGATGTATGGTCACAATGATGTATGGTAAAATATAACAAATTTATATGTCACTTTAAAACTTTTTTATTTACAGATAATAAAATTTGTTTCCTTTTTTAAATATAATTCCTTATTGTCACGTTTAATTCTTTTCAGACATAAAAGATACGGTATGATTGTACAGTTGACAAATATTATCTTCATTCAACAAACCTTATTTTGCCCAAAAAGACCGTAGTTCGGTTCTACCATCTTTTCCCAAGAGTGTCGTGAAAAATGACCAATGGTAACGCTCAGTTACATTGTTACAAGTTCAAAGATAAATCTCGTATCCCTGAGGAAAGAATGAGATACCTTTGTCAGCGCAAGCTATTTTTAGCCTTATTAAGCTGTTTATATGATTGAAACTCTCTTTTGTTTTTAGAGAATGTTCCGAAAATAATAGCGAGTTCTATTCGTCTGTTTTGTTTTGAAAATAGAATTGTTTTGTTTCCTTATTCAAAAATAAATAGCTTTGATTTTTTATCCGTCTTTGGTTTGAGATATTTTCTTTTTATTTTATTAACGGCCACTATTTTTGACCTAATGTTTATATCTATTTTGCTCACTAATATAGAATTTTGAAACATTTTTAACAATTTTTTACTAAGTTTTAAATTAATTTATGAAATGCATGGTTATAGTAGCGGTCATTTTAGACATATCGTGTCATTTTAGACCTTAGACTTTAATTTCATAATATTATATACCTCGGCGGCTAATTTTTTCATTTGCCTACCTATTTTATGAAATTATAAAAGTGAGGCCTTAGATTTATTCCCCCCAAATCGCTACGTTTGATGACGAGTGGCGCAATTTAATGTCATTACAAAAAAAATAGATACAAATGTAATCCAAATGTGTCTCTATGACTATACGAGATTATAATAGTTACTTATCTAAATAGGCTATGCTGACTAAATAGTGTTGAAATAAGTCTTCCATAAACTACATTTAAAACAACCGACTTCAACCTCCTCTTTTTTTGAAGTCAGTTTAACAATATACTAAAACCTCCTATATCAAAATCTCCTAACGGCCCTTTTCTATATAACCTATCTATCTGTAGATTTGCTTACTGAGATAGAATTTTGGTACATTCTGTATGGAGCTTATGTCATCGGTTCAGCCTATCGCGAGATAATCCCGCACAAACATATGTACCTATACAATATACCTACATACATACATACAGGTCTGAGATACCTCTTTTTTTGAAGTCGGTTAATAAAACAAAGTTGATATGCCATTACAAACTATAGTCTACCGTTCTGTGTCAAGTTTCATTTAGATCAGAGGTAGCCAAACTTCTTTCAGTTAACGCCCACTTTACAATTCAGTTATTTTGTAACGCCCCCAATTGGGTACCTAGATGACTAATTTTTATTTTAATGTCCGTCTGGTAAATTATTTAAAAACATTAGACACGTATTGTTTATTTTCTTACGGAAACGAATAGTTTCGAAGATATATTGATTTGAATACCGCATGACGTCACTTTTGAGTACGATTTATACTCAAAAATGACGTAGCTACCTCCTACTCACAAACTTTGATTCGTTTTATCTAAGTATTGTTTTCTTATACGACAAAATAAAAAAATACTTGTCTTATATTTTTTCATTACCTAACTGACGGACTAATTATATTTTTAATTTTCATACTCTGTCATCATCCATATTCTATTTTCCGTGTAGCGAGATTATTTATGTAAGTATTTGGGACAAATCTCCCTTTACATAAATAATCCCGGTTTCAATAAGTGTTCAACTTGTTTTTTTTAAGTCGATTTATTAAAAGAAACTCCTTGTGATTATGACCTTAATATTTTAATGTTTACCTTAACATTTCAAGGAAGGGAAGATTATAATATTTTTATTTTATATTTAACTAGCGACCCGCCCCGGCTTCGCACGGGTGCTATATGCATGTATTATACATACAAACCTTCCTTAAGAATCACTCTATCTATTAAAAAAAACCGCATCAAAATCCGTTGCGTAGTTTTAAAGATCTAAGCATACATACGGACATACAGCGAAAGCGACTTTGTTTTATACTATGTATTGACTAGCGACCCGCCCCGGCTTCGCACGGGTGCAATATGCATGTATTATACATATAAACCTTTCTCAAGAATCACTCTATCTATTAAAAGAAACCGCATTAACATC